GGCGGTTCAAGTGGAGCCAACCCAGGAGCTCGTGAACCTATCCAGGAAGATTCCAGAAGTCATGTTGGCGAGTAGGGCACCGGGAACAGTGACCAAGTATTTGTCGACATTTCAGCGCTGGCAAGAGTGGGCTAGCAGTCAAGAGATCCCGAGCGTACCAGCCGAGTCTTGGCACATATGTTTGTATGTCGTGAAGCTGCTCCAGGAGGCACGGACAGCGTCACCAATAACATCCGCTATTTGCGCGTTGGCCTGGTCGCACAAGGTGCGAGGCCTACCGGACCCCACAGACAACGCACAGGTTCGGAACCTAGTCCAGGCCGCCAAACGACTGCTGGCGGCGCCGAAGAACCGGAAGAGGCCGATGACGAAGCAGATGCTAAACCAAGTTGCTACCAGGCTCTTGCGCAATGAATCACTGCAGAACTTGCAGACAGCGACTCTGATGACCGTTGGCTTCGCAGGGCTCTTGCGGTGGAACGACTTGTCAAACATATACGTCGACGAGATCGAAATCAAGGAAGATTACATGGCACTATTTCTCGAAGTGAGAAAAAATGATCAACTGCGCCAAGGTAACTGGGTGCTGCTGTCAAGATGGCATGGAGCAGTATGCCCAGTGGCTCTAACAGAGCGACTGCTGTCTAGAGGTGGCTACGAAGGCCACCAGAAGTTGTTCGGCTGTATTCGGCAAGGAAACGCTAGTCAAGTTGTCCGGGACCAGATGTCTTACAGCCGTGCCCGAGAGCTGATCCAGGACGCGCTGTGCCAAGCGAACTTCAACCCAAGCGCATTTGGGCTGCATAGCCTGCGTTCTGGGGGAGCATCGGTGGCCGCGGCAGCAGGAGTCCCGGATAGACTGATCCAACGTCAGGGCGGCTGGAGAAGCGAAACATCCATGCGGATGTACTTCAAGGAGTCACTCTCAGCAATGCTCTCAGTGTCAAGGGCACTGGCCATCCATTAGCTATGCTTTGCTGCTCTTGCTGTTGCTGCTGTCCCCGCAGAGGCTGTTTGTTGTTGCTGTGTGCGTGTGTACGTGGGTGTGCATGTGACTGAGGTGTGTTAGGGGTGGGAGCACGTATGGTGTGGCTGCACACAGGAGTGAGAAAGAGAGTAAAAAAGAAATGCCTCATTTCTCGTTGGCTGACGTAGGAAAGAAACGAGAAATGTAGTTCTTTTTTGTCTTTCTTTTGCATGACGTAACATTTGCTGCTCGCAAATGCGAGATATTAGGAGCATGCGCTCCGGCTGCGGCATTCTTTTTCTTCTTGCTTTGCAAGTGTAGTGCCCATGCCCGCCCGCCCTAGTGAATGGTTATTTTGTTGAGTCGTTTGGATATTTCCGTAGCACACCGCTGGCGGTGTGCTCAGATTGCAGACTGCACTAATTTCGATGATCTAGATGAGTTGCTTTCTTTTTAAAGCTGTTTACTATTGTCGCCGTGAGTTGACAATACACTTGCTTGCTGTTGCTGCTGTCCCCGCAGAGGCTGTTTGTTGTTGCTGTGTGCGTGTGTACGTGGGTGTGCATGTGACTGAGGTGTGTTAGGGGTGGGAGCACGTATGGTGTGGCTGCACACAGGAGTGAGAAAGAGAGTAAAAAAGAATCGGTGGAAACTGATGAAGAGGCCGTACAGCTCTACACGGAACTGATGACGGTGTGGAGTGGATGCGGGATGAGTGCCCGCAAGTGGATATCCAACTCGGCAACCCTGCTGGAAAAGATACCAGCTGAGCATCGCGCCGCCAGCGTCAATCTGACCAGTGACGGCCTACCCACAACGAAGACATTAGGCATCAGTTGGCAAGCGTCAAGCGATTCGTTCTCGATCAGTGCCACCGCAGCTCCGCAACAGCAGCGCATCACCAAACGGGCCATTCTGAAGGCAGTGGCCAAGGTATTCGACCCACTAGGATTCGTCGCTCCGTTCGTGCTACGCGGCAAAGTGATGATTCAAAGCCTGTGGGCAAGCGGCATTGACTGGGACGAGGAAGTAGACACCAAGACAGAGCAGCTGGCTCAAGAGTGGTTCAGTGAGCTCGGCGATCTCCAGAAGCTCAGGATCCCACGTTGTTTGAAGATCAACAAGGCTGCTCAGCTACACGTGTTTGTTGACGCCTCCAGTTCAGCATTTGCAGCAGTCGCCTATGTCCAGTACGTCGAGGACGGTAGTGGTGTGTTTCGTCGCTTTGTCGCATCGAAGAGCAAAGTAGCACCACTGCATGTGATCAGCATTCCGCGGTTGGAGCTGATGGCCGCTGTGACCGGTGTGCAACTAGCGCAGACCGTCACCGCGGCACTACAGATGTCCATGGCTGAAGTACAGTTCTGGAGCGACAGTCAGAATGTCTTGGCATGGATCAAGAAGCCAAGTCGCCACTTCAAGACGTTTGTAGCCAACCGGGTAGCAGAGATACAGCTAGCAACCTTACCACGACAATGGCACTACGTGGCAACTGCCGACAACCCAGCCGACATTCCGTCACGAGGCGCCACATTAAATCAGTTATTGGAGTCAGAGTTGTGGTGGACAGGGCCACAGTTTCTGAGTCGACGGCCAGTGGAGGAAGCTACGCAGAAGTCAGAGATGACAGAAGTGGATCTCTCGGAATTGCGGAAGTCGGCCGAAGTAACCCTCGTGTCGCGAACCGTTGACAAGCCACCGACAACGGCAGTTGACGCTGAGTCTCGACTGCAGCCAGCCAGATACTCCAACTGGAAGCGCTTCATACGTGTCACTGCCTGGGTATGCCGCTTCTTACACAACAGCCAGAAACCACACGATCGAACCACAGGAGAGCTATCGGTAGCGGAGATACAAGATGCAGAAGAACGTAGCATCAAATCAGCGCAGCAAGACAGCTATGCTGAGGAGATTCGTCAACTCAAGAGCGGCAAGGCGGTTGCTGCCAGTAGTCCACTGACACCCATGATGCCATTCGTGGATGGAAACGGTTTGCTGCGGTCCAAAGGACGCTTGCAGTATGCAGATTATCTGCCGAGCACAACGGTCAACCCGCTCATCCTGCCACGTCGACACCCTGTCACGACACTCATCATTCGGGACGTGCACGTCAGCGGTCATCATGTTATGGGTACCAATCACAGCATCAGCGTCTTGTCAGGTAGATATCTCGTACCCCACATGCGAGAAGCTGTCAAGGAAGTAGAGAGAGACTGCTGGACTTGCAAGCGCAAGAAGGCCCGACCGGCGCAGCAGTTAATGGCACCACTACCAGCGCACAGGGTAGTTCCGAGCTACAGAGCATTCGCCAGTGTCGGTGTGGACTACGCAGGTCCATTCATGACTAAACAAGGACGGGGCCGGTCGCAAACGAAGCGATGGCTGTTCCTATTCACATGTCTCTCCACCCGAGCAGTTCATCTCGAAGTAGCGTCAGCGTTGAGCACAGACGCCTTCCTGAATTGCTTCCTTCGATTCACAAGTCGCCGAGGTATTCCGACTCAAGTCATATCGGACAACGGGACCAATTTCGTAGGCGCCAAGAAGGAGATGGATGAGCTATGGCAAGATGTCGACCAAGACAGAATCAAAGGGGTCACATCAGCTCATCATGTCGAGTGGAGCTTCAACCCTCCAGCAGCACCTCATTTCGGAGGACCATTTGAAGCAATGATCAAGGCAGCGAAGAGAGCTATCTACGCTATTCTAAGTTCGAGCGACATCACCGACGAAGAGTTTCTCACTGCTGTCATCGCCGCGGAAGGACTGATCAATTCTCGGCCATTAACCACGACCTCGACGGACCCACAGGACGAGACGGTGCTGACGCCAAACCACTTCTTTATGGGACAACTGGGAGGTCAGTTTGCACCGGAGATGACGGACGACCAGATAAATCTGCGCAAGAGGTGGCACCACGTCCAGCAGCTGGTGTTGCACTTCTGGAAAAGGTGGATCCGGGAGTGGTTGCCACTGCTGAGCATGCGCCGGAAGTGGACAGAAACGTACGCAAACATCAAAGTCGGAGATCTTGTGCTTCTCCTCACACCGTCGACACCACGAGCACAATGGCCACTGGCACGAGTTCTGGAAGTCTTCCCAGGGAAGGACGGCCTCGTGCGAGTCGCAAGAGTAAAGGTTGGTGGGAAGGAACTGACACGCCCCATCTGCAAGTTATGCCCACTGGAGATAAAAAGTTAAACAGTGTCATTGGAGAGCAGCCATGAGTGGCTAGCTAGCATTGTAGGCTAAGCGCTAATACGCATGCGGATCACGATATAATTCCTTTAGTATTTGGATCACGTTGGTTCATTTTTTTAGTAGTTCAGACTCGATCATTGGTGCACCATGATCGAGGAGGAGGAGAATGTTCTGGAGATTTACACAATTGTGGTGTTCTTGTTAGTTACGGCCCTAGGATTCCCTTTTAATGTCTCAATGTCACTTGGTCTATAGTACTAGACTTTTCATGCTTCGTAAGCACGGTGAGTGCAACAGTCCACAGTGTATGGTTTGGCGGAAGGTCAAAGTCACACCTGATCGATTTGCTCTTACATGTGCACATTCACATATTAGCTGATAGATACGCAAGGCTACGTGCTTTGTCCTTTGCTACATTTATTGGAGTACGAGACGCTCATATTGCGGTTTCTCCTTTTGTACGCTATGTAGTCGGTCCAGTGATTTCGTGATAGCACACGCGATCGCATTTCCACTGTACTTTCATTTGTTTGCAGCAGAACTAAGCGGCACGCGCCGTTTGGTCTCATTCTTGTCGCTACTCGCTTCTTTCGCGTATAAATAGTGGATCGATATTCACTTTGAAGTATTCGGTTTTTCATCCAGTCTTATCGGTTATTATAGTAGTTCCTTTTAGTTTCTTCTAGTTGCTTTTTAGGACTTAGCTTTTCTTTGAAGAGAAGTCGTAATTTGCATAAGCAGTTCGAATAAAGACGTTCAAACCTAGATTCCTCGTGAACAGCTTGTTTGTTCTATCATGCATGATGCATGCAAGCACACCAGCATGCACTTACCCTTTCCAGCTTGTTCTTTCGGACTTTGTGGATGCACATAGCAATTCCAGCGAGCTCATGCGAGTACTAGCTCGAGTCGGCGCAACAGCAGGTGGCGACTCCTACAAGCGATATCAAAAGACCATCATTGATAAGAAATCAGAGCTCGGAATGAACAGTGAGATACCTCACACAAAGTTCTCCATTGCAACAATGGATAATATCGACAAAAACAAGCCAGGCAGGCGAATGTACTACGGAGACCAACCAAGAGGCTTTCATGGTACATCTATTCAGAGCATCACACCAAAGCCCATCAGTGGCAATATCTTCGCGTGCAACAACATAGACTGAGTGCCACATCAAGGATTCCACTGTGCATCACAGCCTGCCAACACGAGTGAACCACAGGGTATGCGAGGCAGGCTGAGGTCCCGTGCAAGAACAATGATTGAAGGCCAGAAGCCACAAGTCGACCATCAGAGCACGCAGAGACACTTACCTACACCCCAGTCACAGCTGGATGATGCCATTCAGCCTGATTGGCCCACTGGACCTAGTGCTGTTGATGACGAGCGCGCAAGACCATCTACATAAAGCACAGAGAATCCAGAAAATACGGCAAAAACCTGTGACACAACTATCACACATGATCAAGATAAGGCTGCAAGTACAGAATGTTCAGTATGCAATACCCAACCCGCAACCCGCGCCAGATGACGCGCGCGTGTCTGTGTGTGTGTGTGCTTCTGTGGCTTCTGCTGTAGCATCTTTATCATCGCCTCCGGCGATGGGCGTCCAATGGTCCAATGGTGTGTGTGTGTGTGTGTGTGTGTGTGTGTGATACGTGTTTGTGTGTGTGTGTGTGTATGTATGTGCGCGCATGCGCGTGTGTGTGTGAGTACGTGTGTGTGTGTGTATATGTGTGTGATGCTGAATTCGAAGACACATGCTCTCACAATGCTTTCACACATGCTGCGGACCCTGCGTCTCCAGCGCTTGCTTTTCTTTCAGGCCCTGCACTTCTGTGCAGTTGTGCTAAACTACATAAAAAGTTTCTTTGACTATGTACTCCATCTATAATTATGTAATGAACGTCCTACCATGGTACATACAAAAGAAACTGTTCCACAGACTACCTTCAGCCAGAACTTTAGCAAACTAGATCAGCAGCCAGGAATACTGCTGGATTTTGATTAAAAATCTGGGCCCCAATCACACGACTTACAGAGAAATTCCGTATAGATGTCGAAGACAAAACAGCAAGGGGACTGGTTTGCAATGTAGAGGTGCCCAAGGAAAATAAGCAGCCAAAACGTCCTTGTTCAAGCACAATTACTTTAGTGCAAAATTCCACACAATTCGACATACCTCCACGAAATTGTGGGCCGCTCCATTTTGCATAGCCTGATTGGGATGTGCTTTGGGAATCCAAACCCAAATATATCTACCTTTGGCTTAGAGCATAAGCCGAGAGTGTCCGTTATATGCTATCCACTCCAGCACGACAAGCAAGTTGATGGTACGATTACGACGAAAAAATGTATAGAGCAAACACAGGTCTTCATGGTCTACAGTTGGGCGCAACGAACCTCAGCTAAAGTGCCATAGGTGACAAAGGGACATACCTCAGCAGCAAACCAGTTATGAACAAGGATTCCTCCAGCACACGCCAGTTCAGATCCAAATAAGGTTGCAAATTCCCAACAAAACAATTGTGTCGTCGTCATCTTTTTGCACCTCGATTTTTCCCGCGGTTGCAAATAAAAACAGGCTACTCAAGGGCTTGGCGCACGGACTGCCGAATGTGATGCCAAATCAATTGCAGAGCATTGTCAGGCACAGGATGTACACATCGTGCAGAGTGTTGTGTACACCTCGGAGCGCTTCCGAACAGGGTTCGCCAGGGTCACAGTGTTGGCGTCGGACGCCACCACCGTACAGGGGAAAGCATTTTGGCCGGACTCGCTCGGTTTTGCAGTTCGTGAATGGCGCTTTGGTGCTGACGGCACAGCTCCAGCACTCACATAATGCCACACACCATCTACCGGCATTTACAGCCCCTGAGCCCGCATGCTCCTGTGTTCACCCCTTCGTCTCCAAATCCCTCAACCCCAGCATTCTTTTCTACAATTCATCCATCCAACCGACTAAATGTTGGCCACATTTAGAAAAGCGATCCTGTCAGCTTTTCTATTATTGTGTTCACATGGCGCTACCTAACGACACCGCTATTCAGACACGTTGTCTACGTAGCTACGTAAGTTTCTACGTAAGATGCTCGGTACCTGGTCCTGGACCAGGGAGCTACTCCACGGCTCCTACCATCGCGCGGCCGGCTGGCCACATGCGTGTGCATTGCAGACTTTTTGTTGTTGCCTTTTCGGATGTGCATGCACGAGGAACTTTGGAACTGCTTCTTGCATGAGCTGTTTCGGATATTTCGTCTCCTGGCCTGACTTATTTCGTTTCGGCGCTGCTGAGACCTCCTTTCGCGGAATATTACTCAATGACAGGTGAGTTGACCAGTTCCCTTTGATTCATTTGCTTGTGTTGACTCTTTCATTTACGAAAAGTGTGCTGACTTTGGGCGGAATGCAATAAATAATGGAAAAGCTGACAGGATCTTCTTTCTAAATTTAGCTTTTCCGCTGACGAGGCCTCCTTTTACGGAATACTCAATGACAGGTGATCTCTTAGTTGACCGGTTTCCTTCGATTCATTTGCTTATGCTCACCCTTTCATTTACGGAAACGTGTGCTGATTTTATTCGGATTTAGATCCATTTTTATCTCTTTGCCCTTGCCTACAGTGTGCGAAGAGGCGAGTTCACCTTCTTGACGGTAAGGCTTATGTGTTGTCAAAATACTCATATTCATTGCACATTAGTTCGTTACAAGTAAGGCACTGGTCAGTGGCATACTATCGTTGGCATTTCCCAATCTGGAGGGAAAGGTTCAAGGACTCATTGACCGAGTTTGCCAAATAAATTCGCATATCAGGGAAAATCTCCATTGTGGAGAGGTTCAGTAACTTGTTTGCTTCATACGAAACAAGCCAATAGGTGCAGTCTCGTCTCGTGAAAATCTCGTACTTGTATGATTGGACTTGTTTACTCGAGTCTTGGCTGTTTGATTTGTGAGTAGCGCCGAGATTGCACTGCCCCAAATAAAGTTGCGTGCCGGCAGAGCAAGAATTACGATCTGCAATCTGTTTGTAGTACCTGTAGTACCTGCAAGAATGTGCAGTACATGTATCGTACTTTCTCTGTTGCTGTTTCAGTTGCCGTCATGTTGCTAAAGAAAGGTTCAGTAGAGAGGTTCTGCAAAACGAAAATTCGAACGAAGTTTCGCGACATTCCTTGCGAAAGCGTGTACGAATTTTTGCACGAACTTTGCGTTCTGTACATTTTCGTAGTTTGCGCGGGCTAGGCACGTACACCATGACCCGATCTCACGAAATTTCCTACGACAGTTCATTTCGCGTTCCTTGCAAGTTTCGCGTCCAAAGTTGCGAAAGTTCGTGCGAAGTTTCGCACTTCATGATGTAGAGCAAAAGTGTGTACGCATTTTCGTTTTGCAGAACCTCTCTAGTGACTCTTTTGTTTCATACGAGACGAGTCAATTAGTTGGTGTGGCTTAGAATCTTTCGCTGTAGAAGAAATCTATTTGTTTGTCTATTGGAGAAATAATTGTATTCACTGGTTATAAAATAGGTTAAGACAAATTCACAGAATAAATACAATCGGTCCCTTGGTGTTCGTCCTAAAAAGGTTCGACTGAATATCATTCAAACTCACCAAAATATATGTAAGATTTTATTATCATGGAGTGCCTTATTTATCTCTCAGTATTAGTACCCTTAGACCCTTTTATCCTCAGGATCAGTGTAGTTGTTGGAACGAGGTGTCGGCCTCAGCAATGTATTTGTTTACATTTTAATACATAAGAAAGGGTTTGCTCCCCACACCGGAGCTCGCGCTATTCCGCCGACTTTACTTGACACTTGACTGACTCACGACTGCCATCCAGAGCACACGAGAAGTCCATCGAACCTTCGACTCCGCAAACCTGCAAGAAAGCACCACTCCTGCTCAATACACAGTGTTTCGGGGAATTCACCCCTCATCAGTTGAGCTTGAGTAGGCTGAGGAAGATTGTGCCTGAAGAGCATCACTTATATAGTGCTCTCCAGGCACAAACAACACCAGGGATACAAACTTACAGAGACGCTCCGTTTCCAGCGCGACAAACACCTCGTGAACACCAGATAGCAGCGTGAGTCAGTGAACCACTATTTCGTACTGTTGTGCCCAGCGCGGGCTTGCGACTAGTTGGTTTGGAGGTGACAGCGTTGCGAATGACGGAGGGTCCTCGACGTCTGTCTCACCGTCCAGGAGCGACACTGACTCACGCTGCTATCTGGTGTTCACGAGGTGTTTGTCGCGCTGGAAACGGAGCGTCTCTGTAAGTTTGTATCCCTGGTGTTGTTTGTTCCTGGAGAGCACTATATAAGTGATGCTCTTCAGGCACAATCTTCCTCAGCCTACTCAAGCTCAACTGATGAGGGGTGAATTCCACGAAACACTGTGTATTGAGCAGGGAGTGGTGCTTTCTTGCAGGTTTGCCGAGTCGAAGGTTCGATGGACTTCTCGTGTGCTCTGGATGGCAGTCGTGAGTCAGTCAAGTGTCAAGTAAAGTTGGCGGAATAGCGCGAGCTCCGGTGTGGAGAGCAAACCCTTTCTTACAAATTATCGCCGAAGTCGCAACCACTACTTCGTATTTTAATACATGTTTATTGTTCCTCCTTTGCTGTGTTGTTTTAGAAAATCGTGGACTAACAGTTTGAAGTCGTTGAACTACTTCCAAAAGTTGTATCGACATCAACAGGATTACGATTTCAGTGCAATATGATGCTGGATGACCAGTACCTATCGTGGGGTCCGTCGCATTGAAGGATTATTATTATTGATATAGGGCATTCCATTGATTGGTGACAGAAAAAAACAAAAGAAATTATAGCAATAAAAACTGCTTTAGGGCAGTTTTCTAAAAAAAGTTATTGTGTTCTAGTCCATGGACCATGGACCCCGTCTAAAAAGTAAGAAATTAACGAAATGTGATAGCTGAAAATTAAAATTTCACACAAAACCTCACAATAATCACACACAGAATTAAAAGCTACATGTAGAAGACCTTTTCCCCTCGTGATGCTCTTTCCTATGCATGCATGTTGCCAATTGTTGGTGCAGTACAAGTTAAAGTTGAAAGCAGCATTTCAAGTGTTGTGATTATTGTGAGGTTTTGTGTGAAATTTTAATTTTCAGCTGTCACATTTCGTTAATTTCTTACTTTTTAGACGGGGTCCATGGTCCATGGACTAGAACACAATAACTTTTTTTAGAAAACTGCCCTAAAGCAGTTTTTATTGCTATAATAAACGTTTGCAGCCTACGACATAAAACCCATGTTATAACTAAGCTAATAGATGAGCACTGCCTAGATCTGCTGGCGGTTACGGAAACGTGGCTCGACTCAAGCATCTCGGACACTGAGGTTTCTGTACCAGGCACAATTCTCTTAAGTCGAGACAGGCCGTGCTGATGGATGCACTTGCCTATCCTCCTGCACTCCATGTCGTAAAGGAGGCGGGATCTGCATCTTCGTAAAGGAACATGTTAAGGCTAAGCACATCTTGGACCACTCACACTTCAGTCTAGAGTTGATGTGGCTTAGAGCTGGCACAGGCAAAGATAGTACCTTGTTTGGTTGCATATACCGCCCCCCATCCGAGCCTGTAGAGTTTTGGAATCGGCTCGCTACATCCACCGAGCAGCTGGACGGCGAGAATATTGTGTTGCTAGGTGACATAAAAGTGGACTTTCTGCGTCAGACGTCCAGTGCGTTCCACCGTCTCAAAGACACGTTGCTACTTCCGTGCAGACTGGCCAATAAAGTAACTGAAGCAACAAGAATAACAGGCTCTACCCGTACATCCATTGACTGTATTCTCACGAACATTGATCGAGTTCCGTCAGCCTCTGTCGTGGACTGTGAGTTTTCAGACCATCGCCTCGTCATTACTTCCGTCCCAGTGCCCATCATGGATGCGCGGAGCAATACTACTACCCATCAAACACGCAGAGACCACCGGAACTTCAACGCTCAGCGTTTCTGCGATATGCTGCTGTCCTCCGATCTTCATATCTTTACATCCCGTACCCCAGACCTGATGTTGGACGAGTGGACAGAGAAAGTCAATGCTGTGCTTGATATCATCACACCGTACGTAACCAGGAAACACAGGAAGTCCCGTCGGAAAAATTGCCCTTTCATGACCTCGCCCCTCCTTCCCTTGATTAGAAAGCGTAAATCGGTCTTCAAGAAACTAAAAGCTACTAATTTTCGAGACGAGAGCCTATCTGTACAATTCAAGCGGCTGCGCAACCAGTGCAATAACTTGTATCGACACCTACAGAATCTATACTTTTCAGACCAGTGCCAGCGGTATGAACGGGAGCCTCGGCAGTT